TAATTTATCAAACAATTTTCTACAATCAACTATCAAACCCACTAATTTAATTAGTTAACATTTATTTATCAAACACCATATCTTTGCTTGTAAACCCGCTTGTTGTGAACGAAGAGACGAGTACAGTTGAGAATGGAAACCCATCCAGATCGAAATAAGAAGATTAATGGGAAAGAGGAGACGGGTTCAGATTTGAAGTCTGATAAAAGTTAACAAAAAAGAAGAAAAACTTTTATCATATGGAAACCACATGCAGACAGGAAGGGAAACTTTTGGAATTTTATTGAAGGGAGAAGTCGGCTATGGCCCAGTCATGAGTTCAGTCAAATTAATATACAACTTTGAATTGATCCAATTATTAATATTTGTGATCACTTATTATTTATTTTTTATTTGTAGAAAATATAAATAAGTTAGCACATGATATAATGGTCATCCAAGATTTTGATCGCACCTTCCAAATTAGGAGTCACCATGATCCCCTACCTTAACTTACATAACATGTGCTTTACCCCTCCCATGCATATTTTCTTTAATTTCCATCTTATTCTAAATGAAATGATTATGCAAGACTTATACTTTTCAAGGTGGCATATGTACACCACTCCCATGCATGAACATCGTTATTAAGATGTTTTTCATGAAACACCAACTGTTAATTGTTTACAACAGTTAGTTTAAAGTACGTCCTAATTTTCACTGACTTTAATTTGACACCTCTTTGAAGGCCATTCTTTTATTTTGTGTATGGTGTAAATCCCATGCCAGTCTGCCAACCGGTAATTCGTGGACAGACCGAACATTGGTTGCTAATGATATATGTATGTATGTTACAGTAATTTGTTGTGCTGTTAGGCCACATGTCGGCAAATGGTAAAACGTATATGGAACACATTTAAATTAAATTAATGTAATTGCATGATGAAGAAGAAAATAAGAGAGTAGATTGACTAAGATGTAGATAGGCAGATCGATATATGCCAGATAGTATATACTTCTAGAATGGAATTTTTGTGTATTAGGTGAGTTGTACTCGTTTAGAATATGCAATAATTGAAGTAGTATTGTATTGAAACAAAAAAAGAGAACTCACAAGTCAAAATAATAATAATAATAATAATAATAATAATAATAATAATAATAATAATAATAATAATAATAAGATTGAGATAACTTCATAGTTAGTAATTAAACTCTTAATGTAAGGGAATCCGGAAACAAAAAAAAAAAAAGAGAACTCACAAGTTAATTAAACTGTTTTTGAAGATTATTTTTCGATTTCTAGTATTTGGTAAATAGTGAAAAATGTGAGTCAAAGAAAAATAATTGTTTCTAGGAAAATGACTTTCCTTTTTTGTTGGGAAGTCATTTTTCAATTTTCACACCACCATTACACTACCACCATCACCACCACTACCATTACCATCACCACCACCAACACCACTACCGTCGTCGTCGCCGCCGCCACAACCACTACCACACTACCAACCACCACCACCAACAACACTCCACCATCACCACCACCACCACCACACTAGCTACTACCACCATCCAAAGATTTCTAGCAGTGATGTAAGGTGTATTATTGAATCTAAATTAGTTTTGTAATGGTGAGAATGAGAGAATCAAGTATATTACTATGTATAATGATTATCCACAGGTTTATAGACGAAACATTCTCATGTGAGCATGACTCTATATATATAAATTAACAAAAGGCGATACAACAGTAATAATTGATTTTTTTTTTTTTTTTGGGGAAAATGACACTTTTTCCCCCTAAGTTATATACTTATAGCACTTTTTCCCCCTTAATTATTTATGTAAGCACATTAGCCCCCTCAATTATTTTAAAAGTGGCGGTTTTTCCCCCTGATATATTAAATTGACATTTCTACCCTTAAAGTAAACATTTTATTTATTTTACTTCTCCAACAAATTATTGTGTATATGTAGCAATGATCACGGTTCGGTTCGAACTGAACCGGACACTATAGCAATCGAATTAAAAGTTTTCGGTTATGATTCAGATCTAGAATCCAATATTTAGATTTCAATTTATTAAATTTATGAACCAAAAAAACTGGATCATGAACCGTGAATCGGCGGTTCCGGATCCGGTTCGCAATTTTGAACCGTTTTTATTTTATTTTTTATTTTAAAATAGTCTAAATTCAACAATAAATTATTTTATTTTTTCAGTTCGGAACATGAACCGGCCATTTCGATTTGCGATTTTAATAAACTCTAAATATCGCGTACTGATTCTAAATTGTAATTGGAATATTTTGGTTTGGTTGCTATAATATCTGTTTGGTTTGAACCAAATTATAGTAATAATTTGTTGGAGAAGAAAAATAAATGAAATATTTATTTTAAATATTTATTTTAAGGGTAAATATGTCCATTTAACATTTTAGAGGGGAAAAGAGCCACTTAAATAATTCAGAGGAGAAAAATGCTATAAGTATATAACTCAGGAGGAAAAAATGTCATTTTCCCCTTTTTTTTTTTTAATCCAACCTTCCAAATTAGGTAATTCCGGCCATAATTTTCATCCCACCTTACCTTCCAAATTAAGGTCATCATAATCCAACACCCCCGGTCAATACCGACCATGCATATGCTCTACTCCTCCCATGTTTTTCGCACTGCAACGACTTTCCATCTTTGCATTGTGGTCACTGCTAATAGAGTAATCATTACTACTTTTCAAGGTCACAAATGTACACCACTCCCATTTCGTGAAGGTAAATGTTATTTAAAATATTTTAAAATATAGTTATAGTGGTTGTTGTGTAATAATCTATAAATCACATAGAAAAATGTAAATTGTATTAGAAAGATCAAGATAATGTGTGATCAATTTAATCAAGTGGGTTATACGAGAATCATACTTCATTTATTCAGCAGTTGGTAATGAGATATATAGATTGCTAATTAATGCAATAGAAGCATGTGCTTCGATCATCTTATAAACTGATAGTTGGATTGCACATTTATAAAGCTAAACTGATATGTTCAACAGGCCTTCACGTGTGCGAGCTAATTGCTTTTGACGAATTTCAAACAACACATAGACTATAGTTTTTTTTATCGAGTGACGCAAAGATTCGAACTCACGACCGGGGTTGACTCCGATACCAAATGTAAGATATATTAAAATATAATATATCTATATATTTGAAGGAAAGAGGAATACAAAAAAAAAAAATAAATAAATAAATAAAAAAATGAAGGAACAATCAATTAAGAAACTCTTACAAGGTAGTTTATGTTCTATATTTTTTAAACATTTTCAGGTCAAAGAATCTAAGCCTCCACTACCGGAAACTGTTATAGGATCATTTTATTGTGATCTGAATAATATTTTCAGGATGTTTACATAGAAATAAGGTGTAGGATAGAAGAGTTTTGATAGATTCAAATTCTTTTAATATTATCTAAAATATATTTAAATTTAATGATAAAAATAATTGTGTATCAAATTTTCTGTCTCAACAGCATGACATGTTTTTGCTCCATCACGTCACATTGAATCCTTAATCCCCACAGTGTTAGACTCCTAAGTCCTAATATGGTCGAACATGCATGTATCCTAAACTAAAGTATTTTGTGGATATGATTAGATGGCAATTTATATCGTGCACTAGGACGCGCATTGCATTATGCGCTTTGATGCAAAATGACGTCGTTTCATATAACTGTATAAAAAAATACACATAATTGTATAAACAAATACACATAACTGTATAAAAAACACACATAATTGTATAAATAAATACACATAATTGTATAAACAAATACACATAATTATATAAACAAATACACATAATCACGTCAACTTTCTACTGCGCCTCCCAAAACGACGTCGTTTTGGGAGACGCGGGGCACACAGTGCTATATGCGCCGTGGTGCAGGGTATAACGATTGTGATTAGATAGGTTGGACCGATGATTTCGTTATTTAGTCTCAATAAACATAAGAGGATCGGACATTGATTGACCCATTAATGGAGGCTGTTGGGCTATGGTTTGGATCGTTATGCTGTGGATACGTGTTCATCATGCGTATGGTGAACACGGGTAGATTCATAATTTCTATGTTGTAAATTCATAATTTCTATAATGTAGATTCATACCATCTATACTTTAGATTCATAATTTCTATACCGTAAATTCATAATTGGGATATATGAACATCGATTCATAATTTTTATACTGTACAGGGGTAGATTCATAATTTTTATACTGTAAATTCATAATTTCTATACTGTAGATTCATAATTTCTGTACTGTGATTCATAATTTCTGTACTGCGAAGACGAAATAATGTGATTGTGAAGAGAGAAACGCCAACAAATGAAAACCAAAATTATGAATATACAACATAGAAATTATGGATCTACCCCTGTGTGCACTATGCGCATGGTGAACACGTATCCACAGCATAATTTGCGCTATGGTTTCCAACAGGTCCTGAGGTTAGATCAAAGACATTTAATGGAAAAATCTCTTATTAAGCCCAGTATGTACAAGGTGATTAGGATTTAAGACAAGTTAATTATTAGCCCAAGGAGATGGATCATGGCAAATTATTGTGTGGACCACGGTCTAAAATGACGTCGCTAAATTTTATGAATTAGAATAATGTACATTATGTGTTAGACTAATGAAACTTCGGGGGCAAGATAATGTACATTATGTGTTAGACTAATGAAACTTCGGGGGCAAGATAATGTACATTATGTGTTAGACTAATGAAACTTCGGGGGCAAGATAATGTACATTATGTGTTATAATAATGTACATTATGAATTAGCATAATGAAACTTTTGGAGGAACATAATGTACATTATGTGCTAGAATAATGTACATTATGAATTATAAAAATATATATTGCAATGGGTCGCGTGAAAGGTGAAAAAAATTGTGCAAAACAATGTCGTTTTTTGGACCGTTGTCCACACTGCTGTGTGGACCGTAACTATTGGAGTATCATATGCAGGAAAACAAAAAGTTGTCCCATTGGAAAATACAAACACAAATCAATTACTGTTCTTCAATGTGCTTGGATTCAGTCGCTGGAGAAGAAAGAAACATATAAATTTGCATCTAAATTGATCAATCAATTAGCCTCTTCAGTCATAAGATGGGGTTTTAAAATAATTTAACCATTAATGGAGGTTATATCAGGGCTGGGGGAGCAGAATGCCTCCTTGTGGATCCATGGGAAGACAGCTTCTTCTTTGCAGAACCACCCTTCTCCAGAGTTCCATGTCTCTTCTCTAAGACCAACAATGGCGCCGCCATTCTTGGTCTAGCTTTTGTTGTTTCCATTGGTGCCATAAAAGTGGGATTACCAATGACCTGTGGCCTTGCATTTGGAGTGTGATCACACTCTCTTTCTATTGCCTCTACACTGCTATGCCTCCTGGAATTCTCTGAATTCTCACTGGGGTTGTTTCTGGAATCTTCGTTTTCATGGCTTCCCTTGGAGCTCAGATTCACACTGGTTTTGCTTCTTGGGTCGTCATTTTCATGGCTTTCCTTGGAGCTCAGATTCACAATGGTTTTGCTTCTTGGATCATAGTTTTCAAGGCTTTCCATGGAGCCCAGGTTCACAATGATTTTGCTTCTTGGATCGTCATTTTCATGGCTTCCCTTGGAGCTCAGGTTCACACTGGTTATGCTTCTTGAATCGTCGTTTTCATGGATTCCCTTGGAGCTCAGGTTCACAATGGTTTTGCTTCTTGGATCGTCGTTTTCATGGCTTCCCATGGAGCTCAGATTCACACTGATTTTGCTTCTTGGATCGTCATTTTCATGGCTTCCCTTGGAGCTCAGGTTCACAATGATTTTGCTTCTTGGATCGTCGTTTTCATGGCTTCCCATGGAGCTCAGATTCACACTGATTTTGCTTCTTGGATCGTCATTTTCATGGCTTCCCTTGGAGCTCAGGTTCACAATGGTTTTGCTTCTCGGATTGTCGTTTTCATGGCTTCCCTTGGAGCTCAGGTTCACAATGGTTTTGCTTCTCGGATTGTCGTTTTCATGGCTTCCCTTGGAGCTCAGGTTCACAATGGTTTTGCTTCTTGGATCGTCGTTTTCATGGCTTCCCTTGGGGATCACCTCCACTGTCAATCTTGCTGCAGCAGGCAGTGTGGTGGCTGTATTTAGAGGCAATTGCTGGGTAGCAGGTGGGCATCTTTGCATGTTGGGGGTTGCAGAGCTCTTAGTGTCATTAACTTTTGGGGCAGTCTTAACAGGAAGAGGTTCTTTGTTAGCAGAATTGGCATTAACTTTTGGGGTAGCCTTAACAGGAAGAGGGTCATCCCTAAGCTCCTTATTACTAGACCTGGCATTAACTTTTGGGGCAGTCTTAACAGGTGCAGTGTCATTATTGCTGCTAAGTTCTTTCATCACTGCAATTCTGTCATCCCATGGCCTGGCAGCCATCCACCTTTCTAACCAACTCCAACCCCATTCTGGATTGTTCGGATCCATCACCTTTTGATTCGTTGTGGATTTCAAGGACCCCCTCCTCATCATCTATCACAAAACGTCGCATTATAAGACAAACATCAACAACAAAAGACAAACAGGTTGTTGTTGATCGAGCCAGTCATCCATAGACAACCTAGGCTGGTTTACCTCCTTGTCGTCCTTTGCTGACTAGGATCACAGAACAAGATTTATACCTGATGTGTGTGAGCATATGACAGTGCCCTTTCCCTTCTCTTGGCTGCCTCCTGCCTGCTGTCATTTTTTGCTTTGATCTGCTCCTTTGTATGTGTGCTGACATCAAACTTGCCTCCAGGAGGCTGCAAGTACAACTCCGGGTCAAGACACTTTTAAAAATGACAACTTTAAACTGATAGTGAGACTGCACGTTTATATGGACACTCACAAGTGTTTTTGACTTCTCGAGTTCTTTCTCGGGCTTCTGCTGTTGCTGTCTATGGAGTGTCCGGTTCTCCTCGGACAATCTATTTCTTCTGGCACGAACCTCGGCCTGCAGTTTAGCAATATTCTGCATGCACTTTAAGGTTGTCATGGCTTGTTGCTTGACAGATCTCTCAGAGATCATTGATTTCAACCTCACTAATTTTCTTTGGCCCTGATGTGCTCTCCTTGCCTTAGAAAAACCCAAATTAAAGATACTGTAAAAGACGCGTTCTGTCTCAACTAAAAGTTTAAACTAACTCACACTCACCAGGTAGCCCCGAAAAACCGACTGAATCTTGATAGCAGCCATCTCTTCCATTGATATACGTGAGCTGCGGGCTACAGACGTGAGGCGAGCCACCTCCACGGCGGCCTTAGCAGCTGCCACCGCCGCTTCTGCAGCAATGGCGGTGGCGAAAGCGACAGAGTAAGCATGCCTGCTCTGCTCATCGTCGTCATCTGCTCCCGTTGTTGTTGTCATCGTTTCGGGTAAAGGATTCAACAAAGCAGTTTCTCCCTTGGGAGAATCATCCAAGCTTTCTGTATTCTCGGTTTCAACCCCTCTAGATTGTGCCTCCTGGTAAGAACAATGAACAGTCAAGAAACAACATTCTAATTGTGTAATTGCAAAAAGGGGATCATCAAATCATAGAGTTAGTCCTGCCTGATCAAACTTGTCTTTCTTCTTGTTATCAGAACTCCAAACTTTTTTCACTGCAGAAAACCAGCTTCCTTTCTTCCCCATTTTCTGCCAATTGGTGTTGGAAATTCTTAAGAAAAACCATCAAATTAAAGCAAGGAACGTTTCATCCATACCCACAGGAAATACAAATCCACACTAAAAACACATAAAAATGTCAAAAAAAAAATAAAATTCACAAAAATCAGGGACAATCGCTGCGGGGATGGGATAAAACACCATAATATCCATGGTTTCAAGCTACAATGTATAGGAATTAGAGAAGCACGGTATCAAAAGGGGTCAAAGAATCTCCAATCTATTTCATAACAGATATAAATGCATGAAAAATCCAACTAACCCACAGATTTCCTTCCATTAAAATGCGAAAAATAAAAACAACCCACAGAAGTAATAAGCACCAATATCACAAAAACCATCAGAAAAATTTGAATAAATATACCTGAAGCTGAAACAAAACCTTTGGATAATGCCTAGAAAAGCAAGAAAAGAATAATAATAATAATAATAATAATAATAATAATAATAATATATGGATTGGCAGCTAAAAAAGGAGATGATAAAAAGCTACAGAAAAAGAAAATGGTTTTCTTCAGAGAGAGGAAAGGATGTTTCCGGCGACCGCAGGGAGAGGCGGGGGGAATGGTGAATGACATTCACAGGGAAAAACTAGGAATGTGGGGAATGGGAAGTAGTTGAAACAGGAATAACGGACAGGGGTATTTTGGGCATTTCACCAGAGGCTTAGGAGTTTTTGGGGGGTGTGGGGGCCCACATGTCCAATTCTGAAACGCCCGACATCTTACCAACCACCTGTCTTTCTGACTTGTGAGGGTAATTAATAAACGGAAAGCCAATTTCGGATCAGTAAAATTAATTAATTTTGACCAAAATTAACTGTCAGTTACTTACGATTAATTAACACAACTTATAGCTTAATTTGAGATTAACTTCCCTTTAATTCACCCTTCCAATGCCTTTATTAAAGGCGAGAACATTTCACTTAACTAACCTGCAAAACTCTCATGTGATAGTGTAATAATGTGTACACTTTTTCTTTTTCTTTTTTGGTATACCCAGATTTTCCATCGATTAATTCTCTTGCTGAATTGTAAGCACCTCTTTTAGGTAGGACAGCTGGCCTGGAGATTTAAGGCTGTTTCATTTCCAAAGTCAAGGATCGAGCCATTGAACTTCTCTCAACGGGAGCCACAGAGATGTCATTTGAGCACAAAGTACTGGACAGAAGTTCATATATATCATAATTCATATCACATAACCTTTCAAGATTATTATCCATATAATTATAATTAGTGACAATGATTCTCATATACTAAAAATTTAGGGAACTACATGCTAAATTAATAAAGCAGATCAGAGATTTCACTTTCTTTATTTAAGCATTGCAGGTAAGAGTCTCTTTCACAGCAGTATAAAACATGCCTTCACGTTTACTTGTTTCTGCAGCCTTCAATTCCCAGAAGCAATGATGAGAGTTTAATGTATTTAGGAACTTCATTAATATATCATGAAAATGGTAGGCACTCTTTATCCTATGTAATCATGCATGTTGGAGAATTCATACTTTTCCTTAAAACTTATGTTACTGGTGAGTTCATAATATATACATACAAAACATCTGTCATTGTATACATATATACATACAGCCTTCATGTTAATGTTAAAGGTTCTTTTGATTTGCCAGTATTCTTACCAATATCCTTGTGGTAATCATGAGCAAACTGACGATATAATTAACCAGCTAATACAATCAGCTGATTAAAACAGCTAACACGTTATCAGCTATCAGCTAATTGCCAAACACCCTGATAACGCGGAAACTATGAATTCAAACATTACAGATCTTCATAGAAACACATTTCAGATAACTTGGTCTGCAATTACCATATCTTTATTAATAATTAACACCCAGATTTTATGTTGTGTTACAAGAAATCAAGAATCCACCATCAGCATACTGCCGTTTCGTTGGCTCTAGCACGCTTCATTGGTGGTTCGCAAGCTATATTTTCCTGCGAGCTTGTTTCCGAGCTCTGATTCTGGGTAAGCAGCACGCCTGAACTGTTGGCATCGTTTGCAGACAGTTCAGCGTTGGTGTTATCCAGGTTTAGCGGTTCTTGATTGTCACTGGGTGGTGGTGAAAGAGGATGTTCGTCTGGTTTTGAGGATGACGATGCCTTCAATTCTTTCTCCATCTCCCTCGTCTTTTCGTACATCATTTGCAGGTATTTCCCTTGTTCTTCAATCTGCAACTGCAACTTCCTTTGTGTCTGCAGATTAGAGATTTTATCACATTACATCATGGTTTCGAAACCTCCTGGTTTTAACTTCCATCAGAAAGTACACGAATTTCTATTTCAGACATTCGAGTAAGAATAACAGAAGAGAACTTGGCATACCTCAAGTTGCTCGTGAAGCTGCTTTTGAACTTCCATCTGCAATCTCAGTGCTTCGGTTATACCCATACCCCTGTCAGAAAACATCCAGACATGGAGATTTTAGCAGCAAGAAACGAACAGCAACTAAAATCTGTGAAGGGGAAACCACTCTAAAAATATGTAACCACAACTGAGGAAAACACAGTTACTTTGATTCATTTTAGGGATATTGATCTAAATTTTATGGATAGGGACTTACGGTTTCAAGTCAAACGATGCCAAGTCAGGGATAGTAACCGGCTTCTTCTCTGAGCTTCCTATAAAAAACATAGTTTCTGAGAACGAATTATAATTAAGGTGGTCGGGAAATCTCAGAAGAGACAGGCCACCATAAAGGGCAAAAGAAATGATCAGCAGAAGACATTGCCCAGAACTATTGTTGTAGGTTTTCGATATAAACAACAATTTAACGGGGATGATCAATGCATTACATACCTTCTGTTGGCTCCGGTTTGTATCTGGCAGTTCTGTATTTCTGAAATTCAAAACGAGAGATAATAAGAACTCCGACTAAACTCTAGAGGAGTTAAAGAGTCAGAAATCTTCTGTATACCTGCAAATGGCTTTTGACATGATAAATCGTCAAGCCTTCAACCTTCATGAGGTTCAACACTCCCTTTGGAGTAGCCTCTATGGCACAGCGACTTAAACGTGAGCAAACTTCAAAATCTCATCTCAAATCCGCACAAGATTGAAAGCATAGCATAAAACAAGAAACAGAAAGCAAGCTACTCACTTTCCATACCACCGAGCTTATTGACAGCTTCTACAAAAACTTCATGAAGTTCTGGTGTCCAACGCATTCGTGGTTTGGTCAGTGTGGCGGTGGACAAAGGGCCAGCAGAAGGGCAGTTTTGTCCAGATGACGTCGGAGTTAGATGATTCAGTTGGGGCTGGGAAACGGGAACATCAGTGGGTCCCGGTAACATCTGGACATAAGAGAAGAAAAACACATTGAAGCAGAATCAGCTAGTCATCACTCATAATACCATGAAGCTATCAAGGTTGACAAACAAACCTTAGGTTCGGGATCTGGAAAGTTAACATCAACAAGAATATCGCTCCAGTTTGGATCCAAGGTATCGTCATCGTTAATTAGCTGATCAGCCCATTCTTGCCAATCTTTTCTTTTAGCATACTCATCAGATGACATGACTCCAGCAAGTGTCTCTACCTGGCCATTCTGAACAGAAATATTTGGTTTATACTCAAGAAATTCTTGATATGCATCATTACCCCAGGAACCAACATTGTTGGAAGCAGATGGAATTGTCATAGAGGAAAAAGAATTTGTCGTTTCCTTGTTCTCTGAGCGAGAATGTAAGGCATCTGGCAACTTGGGATACCTCTCCTCTATTAAAGGCAGAATCGGTAGAGAAGTAGAAATAGCTCCAGAGACACCGATTTTACTATGTTCTGCTTCACTCGATATCTGAAGAAATACTGCAGGATGCATGTTCATTTTTTATCCATGAACTGAACAAAATGAAGCTGTTTATCTGTCTCTGCAACTAAATATGTACAAAAATAAATAATTCAATATGAAAGAAGTGAAAAAGAAAAAAAAAAATGAAGTTAATAGGTAAACCAATAATTCTGGCATGTCTTTAGTCAGACATATCTACTAAGAGGATTTGAGAATCAGGAAATGAAATAAAGTTCATATAGTTTTCTTCAGATGCAAGGAGAAACCAAGAAAATTTCACATGCCATAGGAACCAAATCAATGAATAGCACCCCACATAGACTTTGGCTGCTAAACGTTTCATATCATCTCTAGATGGAATTTCTGCTTATGACAAAATTGTGACTGGACTGAATCATGTATGAGATCATAACAGACCATATTAAGCAATGCACAAATATAAATTTGACACACACACACAAGAATTAGAGAGACTGCTGAGTCACCGTGATTTACCCTTCTACTATCCTGTCGGGCTGGGGTGGCAGGCCCTTGGGGCGAGAGAATTTCACCTTTTATGGGTAAAGAATTAGAGTTATTGGTGTGGAGTACTATACTGAATCATAAATGTCCACACAAACATTGATCCATTTGATTTGATTAGTGAGTTCAATGCATAAAGATGTTAAGACAATGACTATTAACATAGCTTTCATGATAAAACACATTTACAATAAAGCAAAAGTAGTATCTCAATCACAGTATAAACAACAATAAGTTGTTGACTTGGTAACTGCAAGGTTTCAAGTACAATTCCTAGCGGGAGCAATCTATTGACCTTTTTGGTTTGAGCCGGTCAGAGATGGACAACCTATGTTGGTTTAGCTTCTTCTGGTCCTTTACCAGCTAAAATCACAAGACAAGATTTACAAAACACACACTCACTATTAGTAACTGCAATTTCTCTCGTCACCGGAAAAAAAAAAATAAATAAATAAAAATCAGAACCACCACCACCACCATCACCATCCCCATGTTATAGATAATCCGGCCAGCCAAATCACCAAGCCTTACTCCATCATCATCATCAAATTGTTAAAATAACCACCATATACCAATACCTAACTTCTCATCCTTAATCATAACAACAGTTCCAAAGAAGTGGACCCGCCCAGCAATCAACAATCTCATCAAGAAAAAAAGACCTCGACCCAAACAACCAAAACAGTATAATCCTTAATCATAAGGAAAACTAATAATAGCTCACATTCCTCTAGCCACCAAGATCAAGACTTGATAACAAAGAATTGCTTAAAATCTTAATCTTGTTCGTGAAATTCAAAATCAGCCCAGCTCAAGAATATGCAACAGAAAAACAAGTCAAACGAAAGAAAAGGCAGCAAAAATGGGAACTTTCACACACGACCATTTCATCACAAGAATGCGTAATAACACACACTAACGTTCATATAAATTAAACGCAATAAAAAAAGAAGAGAACCCCGAAGTGACTACGCTAAAACTTGGCAAGAAATCTGAGAAGGATAGGATTATAAAGATTGGACCTTGATAATTAAGAGAAGCAGCAGTAAAAGAGGAATCTGACTGAATGTTTGGTGGCGGCTGAGGAATCTTATGCTCAGGAGCTCAGTGGGCAGGCAGCCGAGAGGCCCGAGACCATAAAACTTAGCGTTAATGGAAAAATTTGGTAGAGCTCTTCTGGTTTCCAAATTAAGAGGTGAATGATTGGTTGTTTTTTTTGTGATAATGACGATGCTGACGATGATGTTTACGTTCAGAATAAATTAATACATGTGGTTTTGCTAGCTCTGCACTCTTATTTGCTTCTCTTGTCTCTCTGCAGTCACCTTGGGCCGTTTGGATTTTTTTTTTTTTTAAATTGTTTTTCGGAAGAGGAAAATCTGACATCACAATTTTAATGTGGGACAAATTTTTTATGTAAACTATAAATAAAATATATAATTTATACACTGAAGGTACATTATTTAATACAGTAGTATACAAAATAATATACATTCAGTACTCAAATAATTTATTTTTAAATAATAATAATTTATATTAAAATGTACATTTTATTTATGGTATACACAATTGTGTAGATTATAGTTCATGGGATAATAATTATCAATTATCAATTATCAATTACCAATATAGTAATATAATAATGTGTATACTAAGTAAATTCTACTTATATAAAAGTTATTAAATCACACACGAAAAGTAAACAATTGGACTAGAACGAACATGTGCCCATAACATTAGCAATCGTTATACCGTGGACCATGGTCCACATTGTACTGTAGACGCTGCTCCTAAATGACGTAGTTTTGAATTTTAATTTTGACGGCGATTGTTTGTTGTTCAATTCACGTTACAGGCTTTTTTTTTTTAACCTTGTGTTATGTGTTTCTGTGTCTCATGTTATGCAATTTTATATCTTAAGCGTATGTATTCTGCACCTGAAATAGATTTATAGTTGTGTAACACAAACATATTGTGTATTTTATTTTAAGAATTTATGTCTTTTATTATTAAATTATGTGTCTGTAATAAATTACGGAGTAAAATTTGTGTTGAAACATTTAAATATCAAAACGACATCATTTTGATCCAATGTTCACAATGCTACGTGGACCATGGTCCACAATATAAATTGCCTAACATTAGTTGTGATGGTGTCACCTCCCTCTTGGGCCCATAACAAGCAAGTAGGTTTTCGTTTTCTTGAATCCATCGTTGTGGGATCCTTTTTGGACAAATTGCTCAAAAAGTCACTTTCCAATTTATAGAATGTTTGTATTTCTTAATAAAAAAATTGAAATTTTAGGGACTTATTAGCAACATTATTGTTAATCAATTTTTCAATTTATTAATTAATAAATCAGAAATTTATTACAATGTATTTAAAACTTGAAACTCTGTATAACCATAATTCGGAATCACAAGCTTTGTGAATGGATCGAATGAAGATTTTCCTAGGACAGCAATGGAACATTGGAACCACAGCTACTTGCCTAAACTATTTTCTTTGAATGTTGGAATCAAAACTAAAACAGCTGGGGGAGTTTCAGGAACAACAAAAATAGCTAATACGTCAATTCTGTCATCATCATCCCCTGCTTGCAGGTTGCTTAAACTGCGAGTTTTTCGATGAAATTCCTGTTCAAAACAAAAGGGAAACATGAATGGCAAGGAAGTAACACAGTGATATTCAGTTGTTTCCACAAGCAACAATTGCATGGTGTAGATATGAAAATATATGTTCATCTCAACTAAAGATTAGATTGTTCCGTCTAAATTAATAATATGGTTACGTACACACTCATATATATAGAAGGTGGTTCCTATAAGAACTTTTTCCATATGAAAAGGTGAGAACAGATCTAAACCTTGGTAGAAATCAAAAGATTCCCTAAATCCATGAGTCTAATCAGCAATCCAAATTCCCAATAATATCAATTAAGAGCAACTTTGTCTAAGCAAAATTCTAAATTTCTGTCAAAATAGGTAAATCAACAGCAAAATAAATCTATTTTTCTACATAATAAAATAAGCACATCCGTATATATCATCTTTTTTCATTTCTTTAATTTATTTCTTTCCATGTAAGCAAGGAATAAAGCCTATTTTTACATCAAAGACGAATGTGGGTTATGTCTAACGGATATGTGCATGTGTATACAAATTTTTGTGCATTAATAAATAAGTTCACAATTTGAGCACAAACAAAACCAACACAAATGCACACTTTTAAAATCCCGCATAATACATAAGTGCACACACAATAGCACAAATATATGAACCCAAAAACAAGAACAACCGACAATGACTTGACTTAAATGACGACATACACACTAATAAATCAGCAATGCACAAGATGCCCAATTCAGTACACACTACAACCAAACCCTAAATGCAATGCACTATCAAATTTTTGCAAGTGCAATCTTTTAATACTAAATGTGCAATATGTTAATAGTAAATGTGTATTTGGTAACAACTAAATGTGCAAACCTGAAAATTTCTAAAAAGTGCAGATTTTAGTGTTCAAGTTTGCATAGTAAATTTAGTAATATTTACAAATATGCCACCACATTTTTAAAAAAATAATATGATCTAATGCGTCCGATTTTTTCAAATTTAAGATTGAGATTTGTTCTTAGTTTTACCTCTAAGGGCTTGTTCTCATATGATCCAATATATATATATATATACACATATGAAGACACCCACCTAAAAACATGTTCTTAAGAGAAAATTAAGAACCAATCATAACGATCAAGAAAGATATAACAATGATGATATTCTGATTTTTTTCAACTTTAAAAGTGTAATATACTAATATAAGATTATAAAGTCTAATTTTTAATAGTATAGAGAGCATTTCTATATAGACCCTAAAACTTAAATTAAAAAAAAATATATTAAATCTTAAATCAAAACAGTAAATACTAAAACTTAAAGAAGTAAAAAGTGAACTAATAGTGACACACTAAACCAAACCAAAAATCAAAATGTACAATATAATATTGCAAAGTGCATTTAATTTTTATTTTTTTTTAAAGTTAAAAACCACCATCATTTTGTTACTCTTTATTCAAGAAGTGTTAGATCTGGTATGAAGTACTTAAAAGACAATACCTTTTCCTTTTCGATCCCTACAGCCAGGACTTCCGCAGGAACATTTAAACGCTTTGATAGGATGGTTAATATCGTAAAAGTCAATACCATAATCCTGGGATAGAATTGCAAAAGAAAGTATAACAGTTTATTGTGCAGAGTAATTTATCTCAGGAATCAAAGAGAGCTAACTGAAACATCACAGCTATCTAAAAAATTGCTCTGAAATCCATAACTTTTTTAAAGTTTAAAACTTCAATTGAACATTTTGGGAAAATGGTGAATCAATTATAAGAGCATTCCTAATAGGGAGTTTAGCTCAGTTTTTTATAAAGAAAAAAGCAAGGTATGAGTTTTTACACAAATGGAAAAATTGATTTTTTTGATGTTCTTTCTCTTGTAATACCCAAGTTTTTTGTGGGTCCCGCAAGAGAGAGAGAGATGGCATAAGTCTACTGCCTTTGCGCACGTATGGTGCAAATTCAGCACCCAGTCAGGCATGTGCAGTGCACGTGCCCAACTGAGCGTGTTAATCTGCATTTAAAAAAAAAAAATTGCTTTTTTGATTTTGTTTTTACTTTTTTTTTCCCTCCCTTCCATCTTCTCTCTCTTAATTGACACTTCAAAAAGACTACGCTATTGAGGTTGCTCTAAATACTACGAAGTAATACTGAAGCAACTCACCCATGTTAGCTCTTCAAAAGCATTCACTTTTCGATTGGTGAAAAATGCAATCTGCAGGGTCCCAAAATGGATTTTAGCTTTACTCTATTGAACACAATATATAAAATATAAACTGTATAGTTGGGACGGAACACTTCTCTGAGATGGTAAGCCATACATGATAATAATGATGGTCAGGAGTTTCAATCTGAACTGGTATCTCGATCAAGTTTGCATCAGAGCACCTTAAATTCAACCAAACAAACAAGATACACGTTATAAGAGTAAAATCTCATGTTTCCATATATCTACATAAATAAAGAGAAGGTAATGTAAAGAGTACCTATGATTGATAAACCTCGCAACATTACCATAGTATGTTGCATCCAAGCAAAGTGCATCTTCATCCTTCAGAACTCCTTCAGAACCCCAATCTGCATCTAATAGGACAGGGTATGTGTGCTTTTCATTGCCACCTCTTCGTTTATTTCGCTCATACAACTCAATGTTGGTTAATATCTCCCCGACATACTCACACACAAATGCACCTTTTGGCAACTCCTCAAGTGTCCGAACACCCCAGCCTTTACCATCCGTTGTCAGGAACACCTTAGATTTAAAAAAAAAAAATGTTGTCATTAAAACATTCAAGAATGAAGACCCTTGTGAAGCAACCAATCCAAGGTCAAAATCAGGTGTTTGCATCAAAGAATTAGACAGTGAAGAAACTTCAATTCAAGAAAGAAGTAGGAAATTTTGTTTACCAAACACTGACCTGCAATTTCCGTGTTATTCCTCGCTGTACAACACGGTTTCCACAACCCATCTTGCAGCCACATTTTCTCCAGCATTCTTTGATGAACTTCCTTACTAAGTGGCCCTTGCATTTTTCTGGCCTATGCATATTCTTAGCTCTCTCTAAGGGGCACTCTTCACAATAAAAGTGGTAATGCTTCTGAGGTTCTTGATACATAGAAATACTATCTCGAAGAAATTCTTCTCTGAGAAGCCCTTCTGATGTGTAAGCAAATTCTCCTCCAGTTTCACGGGCACATGCACAAGGTACTGAGGATGAAAGGCAATCCCCCTTACACTTTGAACAACAATCATCATCTGCAATACGAGCCAGTGAAAACTGTACATATGCACTTTGATATATAGTATTTTCTCTAATGTAAGAAAACTTAGGTCGTCGTCCATTGCCAATTTCATCCAGCAATGAAATACGCATTTCCTCAATACCATTTGTTATGTCATTGATCTTTAAAGGTTTTTTCTTATCACGGTTTACAGGTTGCTCTTGCGCAACTAAACAAAGTGAAGAAGATGCAGAGCTTGAACCTTTCTTCATTGAATTTCTCTCTGAGTGATCCACTCTGAGAGGTTCCCCATTTGAACACAAGTTATTCTGCAGACAACTTGCAGTGGATTTGTTCTCAAGAGATCCCTCAGTAGGCTCAGTAGGCGCATTAGCCAGTTCCAAGTAACCTTCACATATTTCTTTCAATAAATTCTTTAGAGAAAACTGGAATCCCTCAATTTTATAAGACATCAAGAAATTGTCCTCCACCAATTTTAGAACAGCATTGATGATTGAACAGAAATGGTTGGATTGTGCAGACACACCATCATATTTTAGAGAAAGTTTTACCCTTCCACAAGAAGAAGATGAAACAATATCGAAAATACTTTGCAAGTCAGTGCTGTAATCAAACGATGAACCTTCTTGTTTGATATTCATATTCTCAGGGCACTGGGAAGCAGGAACGGGCTTGTTGGGAAAATTATCCACCGAGTTTGAAAGAGCTGAAAGAAACAACATATGAAAAATGACACATATATCATCATTCTGATAAGACATAATAATAGAATATTCTTTGGTACACAGACATTATAATAGAATAACTGAACATGAAATAGACATGGATTCAAATATAATATTTTCTTAAACAAAGAACCTATGAAGCTTAATATCTAGATCTGCACTCTGACCACTCTCCATTACATTAAGAAAGAAAAAAGATGGAAAAAATAAATAAGTGTTTCATGATAAAACAGGAAGAATTCATTTAGCCTACAATGAAGCTTATATAAGAGACACACTGATCTGAACATACGATTTGATGATCATATGATGTAGTCACTGTTTTTGTGCCAATGATCAGCACCCGTGTCATTATGAGTACTAATAGAGTAATAGACAGCCATTTGATGATCATTAAATATGTATCCCTTACCTGGAGAAGCATTTGAAGCAGGAGAGGTGATATTTGGTAAGACTTGATCAGATTGTTCTGTTAAAATAGGATTCTTTCTTCTGTCCATAGCTTGATAACCACATTCAGTCTCTGGCTTTGATTCACATGTTTCTCGAAGTTCACCCTCTCCAAAATTTAAATAAGTATTGCCATTTTCCATGGATGAATCATGATCTCGTTTTTGTTTCTTACAAGAAGGTTCATTGGCAGGAGGCTAGCCATTCAAAAAGTGATGTATCAGATTAGATCATTGTAATCCTAAATAAACTTTTTTATAATTCTAGAACTATAAAATGGTAAAGACAATGGAAGACCAAAATACTATTGATTCCATACAGCACACTCTGCTTGTTTTAAAGAGTAAAATGTATTCCCTCTGTCCATTAAAAACTGTCATCATTACGATAGTTGTATGTTCAAAAATTCAAACTCTAATTTATGATAGGCAAAATAAAAAATATACCCTAAGATATCATTTTTATGATTGGTTGATTGGCTGGTTAGCTTGAAGCAAGCAGCTACTTCAGCTAAAGTTTTCACACACTGATTTTCAGAGGACTAGAAATAAGCTAAAGCAAGAATAAGATGAAGACAAGACCTCCATGGACAACGAAATTAAATTAAATAAACTAACAAGTGAACCTTTTCATCATCAGCCTCAAATATTGCATCTATAAGAGTACGATAGTTATCCTCCTCAATAAATTCCCATTTTTTGTTATACAATTTTAGCAGCTTCCTCAGGACTGGTTTAACAACGTCTGATTCAATGCCCAAGCTCCTCATTGCCTTGAAGGCACCTGCAACCTTTGGATCACCGGGCATGATTGATACAAATTGTTCCAGTTAACCTTAATCTGCACTAGTGCATAAACAAACAAAAAATTTCACTTATTTGAACCAATATTAAGTTCCAATCTGCACTGCCTGTCTTATTTCAACTTTGATAAGAAATAAAAGAAACAACAATTAGTCACCAAAAATCCAAAGAAAAGATCAGACATTTCTGCTAGACTTAAGCATTCAGCTGCAGCAATTTTGTATCTTACAGGTATTGCTTGCTCAGCAAGAAAGACCGAAAATTTATACTCCCTTGAAACCGGGATGAACAATGATCAATGAATCAATGATTAAAATTTAAAAAAATATAAATATTACTGAAACGAACCTTTTGCGAGAATGCACTTTTAACTAAATAGCAATAAATACAGCGCAAACAGTTCAAGCACAATTACAAAACAAGGCTTAATCACAATCAGGGAAAGCAAGTCCTATCTAAGTTTTCAGCAATTAGGAAAAGAGATTACGTATGAATCACTGACGAGTCTTTATCGGCGTGAACATGAAATCGGGAAGTCCGGCGCCGATGCCAGAGAGAGTCCACTATTCACGTATACATTTATGCGCTGTATTTGTGCTGAGAATGCAGAAAGAGCTATAGAGAACGTTCGTTTTGGTTAAATAGGAATCGGATTGGCGATGGTGGTGGCAACGAGGCTGCAAACAAGCAGAGACGAGGGAAGTGTATTTCAATCACGCACGCGGCACGCTACGATCTATGCGCCATGGACGAACCAGGCCGGGAAGTGTGACTCTTGAATAAAACTTCAAAAAACGATGAGTCGAAGACTGAAGTATGACTTTTAGGTTTTGATTCTAATTTTTCATATTTTCTCACTCAAAAAATTTAATTTGTAAAATTGAAAGTGTTTATGATTTTTTTGATAACTTACATTTTTCGAGTTTGTTAGATTATATCTTAATCATGAGCCTGCTTTGGGCCTATAAAAAAATAAATTTATAAGAGCATCTTTAATAATTCGAGTTTTTGACTATAAAAGAAAAGAAAATAAAAAGCCAACAAAGAAAATAAAAAATAAAAAATAAAATATGAAAAGCAAACGGACCAGTGGGCACGTGGAGTGCACACGCCCGATTGGCGTGTTAGGGAGATTCTTTATTTTTTTGGTGGACTCCACTTTTCTTGCAAAAACCAAATCTCCTTCTCTCTCATCTTTCTCTCTCCTCCACATAAGCTTGGCCTCCTCAAAAAAAACCTCTCCAAAAATTATTGATTGGGATACACCAAAAAACCTAACTCAACTCAAAAGCAAATTAATCATGGACTAGGATTTATTTTACATTTGTGAACATTAGTCTAAAATGACAGTTAACATATTATGTGTCTATAAACAAATTAAAAACACATAATACATTAACTACAAACAAAGTGGACTATGTTCCATGGTACAACAATTGAAACCCAAACTCCTAATAATTGTGGATGAAATCCAACCCAAACTCAAACCTCCACCGTGACCAATGCCATGAGGACTTTTTTTTTTTGGGGGGGTTAATAATGAAACAGGCCAAAAAATTTTACTCCGTATTTGAATATTTGATTATTAAACAACACAAAACCGTTTCTAAATGAGTTATAAAAAACAAAAGCAGTTACATAACAAATCATCTCTACCTTCTAAGAATTTTTATGCATATATGGTGCATGGACTAAAAAATTTTTACTAGTCCACTTTAATGTTCGGCAAAGGCTTGAAAATCTAAAACCAGAATAGCAAGAATACATTAGCTACAAAGCAACAAATTTAGTAGAAAGTTTACAAACTTTTTCCAGATATAGAGGCGCAAAACAGAACAAATGCATAGCTGGGAGAAACAAACCTTAAAAAAATGAAGATGTTTTGGAGGATGAAGAAGAAATGAGTGACGATGATGATGACTGAATATGAATTCCGACAGATTTTCAGGCCTTCTGAGTGGTTGTTACTTCGTCCCGATGGAGAGGCACAAAGTGGATGCTGAAGACAAAGAATTGACGGAATAAGAATGTTAAACTCTGCTAGTATTTAATTTAATTTTTCATATATTAAAGTCAACCCCCTTAAATTTTTTTTTTTTTTTCAAATCGAATTCCCTTCAATTTCAGGAATGAAACGTTTTCAATAAAGGAGAACCACAATCTCGGTGAAATTCCTGTGCAACATAGGGGCCAAATTTAATTTCCTTGAATTGTAGGAATAAAACATTTTCAAAAAATATGAAACTCAATCTCGGCGAAATTCCCGTGCAACATAGGGGGCAAACCAAATTCTCTTGAATTTTAGGAATGTAACACATACACACACACACATATATACAATCTCAATGAAATTCCCGTGCAACATAAAGTCAACCCCCCCCCCCCCCCTCCCCCTGAGTAAGGTTGTTGAGTAAGAGGATAAGTGTTTCCTACCACATAAAACACGTTCTCTAATTTTTTTAATTAGGAAACGGTCCACAGACTTTTTGCAAATTAGGAAATGGCCCGAAAACGTTTCCAAATCGAATTCCCTTGAATTTTGGGAATGAAACGTTTTCGAAGAATGGAAAACGCAATCTCGGCAAAACTCTCGTGCAACATAGGGGCCAAATTGAATCCCCTTGAATTTTGAGAATTAAACTTTTTCAAAAAACACAAAAGCAATCTCAGTGGAATTCATGTACAACATAGGGCCCAAGTCGAATTCCCTTGAATTTCAGGAATGAAACGTTTATTTTATTTTTTTTCATGTAAGGTTGTTGGATGAGGGGATACATGTTTCCTGTCATAGAAAACGTGTTCCCTCAATTTATTTAAAATTAGAAAACGGTCTAAAAACTTTGACAAATTAAGAGACAGTCCTAAAACGTTTTTTAATCGAATTCTCTTGAATTATGGGAATGAAATGTTTTCAAAAATAAAAAATGTAATCTCAGCGGAATTTCCATGCGACATAAGTGCCAATTAATACCCAACTAATCGAATTTGACTAAAGAGTAAATACCAATTTTAGTCCCACGAGTATTAACAAAATGACGGTTTTAGTCCACATGTTTAATTCTTACCAATTTTCATCCACGACTATTATTTTAGTACCAAAATTCATCACGTCGGTCACCCATCTATTTAAAACATCCCGAAAACTAAAAATTTTAATGGCATTTTCGTCCTTTTCAACTTAATATTCCAATTTGAGCATAAATAAATGCCAAAGATTGATCCCAATTCGCAGTTCTCCTCCTCGTCCTACATTAATTTGAGGAGGAAAACTGCAAAATTGGGATAGATCTTACTCATACGGGCTACACTCTCGCTACCTTTAAGTACGAGAATCTTGCTTTACTCCATTAGCGATAAAACACTACTTTCGGGATAAGTGGAATTATATTTTAATTTTTAAGTGATATCCATAGGGAGATATCTTATACGAAAATAAATATTTTATCAACTTAATTAATTGTATTAAAAAAATTAATCAATAATGTTCCAAATAAAAAATCTTATATTAAAGTCAATTTAAGAATTATTGTATCAAACCTTCACTCTATAAAGAAATTTTATTATTATCTTTCAAATGATAGAAGTATTAAATTACGATATTGAACAGATAAGAGGATAGTGAAAGCTGGTTAGGCCACTGAAATGGCCACCAATTCAGGTGGCTACCAGGAAAGAAGCGCCGCCGTATGATCATCAACACCGTCGTCAACCATCGATCTTCTTCCTCCTCGACGGCCTCTTCTTCTTGTCCACAATACTGATCCCACAGATGAGCTTAAGTTTGGCGGAGAACGATAACAATCCCCGCCCTCCTTCCGATTCACATCTTCTATGCAAACAGTACTTCCTACATCCCCGCCGGCTACCCTTATCCTTTCCGGTCACCGGAAAACTTTCCTTTCTCATGTTTTTTTCACTTTCTCCCTCCCTATCATCCCTGGCCGCCGCCGCCGCCATCCAACTCTCAAATATAGAGTTCCCGGCGAGGCAGTCGTTTTCTACATCTCCCCCCCAGTAATCACTGGGGGGCATCTCCGATGACGTCACGCGATGTTTTCCGGAGCTTCTAACTGCTGACCTCAGTGTCGCATTATTACTTTGTTCCGTCACGCAAGACAGGAGGCTTTTCTCCTCCTCGTACGCGGTGGTTATGCTTTCAAAGAACGACGCCGTTTCGCTTGGTTTCCTTGTTTTACATCCTTTTCGCATATTTTGGTGTTCCCCACCTTCATCGCCATTATAATTCTGCAATTCCAGTGTTATGGGAACTTTATCGTCCGCGTTGACCGGCGGCTTTTGACTACCGATCGTCGATTCCGGGGGACCGACAAGGTTGTCTTTTAATTGGATGCCGACGTTTAGAATCCCCTGTAAATGTCCCGTCGGACGGCGAAGCCGGAGCGCGAAGGGGCGCACCGTTGGGTTTTTCGGGGAGAGGGGAGGGAAAATGGTGCCGATCACGAGGCTGGCTGCGCCCATCGGAAGATCACGCAGCCACGCAACGTTGTAGATCTCGAATTTGATCTCCGATGTTTTGGAATTGAGAAAGCTGTCGTCCACGTAGAACGAGAACTTGTGATTCCAGGTAGGGTTTGTGCCGCCTTGCCGGTCCACCGCCGTGTGCGATCGGTTGTCGTGATCTAAGCCAGCCACGACGTATGTGCGCAACATTCTGGCCAATGGCGGGAGGTCATTCGCGGAAATCACCTTGATTTCCAGGAGCATGGTGGGGGCTTGTGCAGACATTTCGCCCGGGAGAGATTAAGAGATCGCCGGAAAATTGATGGGGAGGATCGGAGGTCGCCGTCTTCCTACCTAAGGATGACCGCGAAGAGTGGCCGCCGGTAGAGAGAGGAAGATAATGCATGAATCGTCAGGTGATATTCGTCGCAGCTTTCCCTAACCTAGATGGTGACTTGGGGGGATGTCTCGGATAAAATTATTTACCATCCCAATTGTGAAAGTGTGGTACACTCCTTTTTAATACCTGGTAATTTTATCGTATTCCTAAAAATACCATAACGATAACCTAAAAAAAAAAAAAAAAAAAAAAAAAAAAGAGAGAGATAGAGAGAGAGAGAACCAAAATCATGCAAATTTGAAGAGGATATGACATTCACATTTTTGTCTCCCTCCATTGATTTTTGCACAGAAAAGTCGTCCACTCAATAGAAAATAGTAAGATTGTTCAACTACGGCGCACAAACTACAAGTGGGACTCGATCTCTAGTCATTCTTCCAAACTTTTATCTCTATGACCAGTTGAGCTGTCCATGCGGGTCAGCTTGTTTATCTCATTATGATCCTTTGAATTGCTGACTAGGGTCACATGGTAAGCTTCACCAAGAGCATACATTTGGATAGCAGCGGTAAGATTTTTTTATAAATCAAAGTATACAGTGTACCTTTATGAGTAACCCTAGTTAAGATGGCTAAGGATACGAACTTATAACCACAAGGGCACGAGTTTGAATCCCAACCTTATTAATTGGTTTGAGTCGGTCGGTTATGGACAATCTAAGCTAGTTACCTGTCAACAAGTTATTTTTAAGTGTTCGGATCGGTAAATGGATAATTGGGTCAAT